TTTCTTGAGCAGCAAATCAGCATATTAGATTGATTTCTGAAGGATCATATGACACTGAAGACTGGAGTAAAGATGTTGAAAATTCAGCTTTGCATCACAGGAATAAATCACATTATTCGAATAGAAAATACCTATTTTAAATTGAAGTAGTTGAGCATAAGTGACATTTAATACACACATACATATATGTGTGTGTGTGTGTGTGTGTGTGTGCTGTCAAACAATTAATCTCGATCCAAAATAAGTTTTGTTTACATAATATATGTGTGTGTGTACTGTGTATATTTATGTATATATAAATGCACACATGTATATATATATATTTTGGAAATATTTACATGTATTTACATATACATGTATATATTTATATTCATATAATTTATATTATATATATAAATATATTTAATATATACACAACGTTTTCCCTCTGAATTTAAGTTTTCTTATCCCACTGACAGATGTTTTTAAGAATAAACTTTATCAAAACTTCATTTTGATTTTTTTTTTTTTTTTTTTTTCAGAAAATAAGACCTAATATTTAAGTAATTTTGCTTCTGAAGTAAATGTATCTTGATTAGAGAATGTTTAGATATTTGTACTGGAAACGAGACAAAAACACTGAATAACAAAATCATTTTCGGCAGTGCATACAGTCTTACTGATCTGACTGTTAGCTAAACAATGTCAAGATATACAACAATACAACCCACTGAATAGATTGTTTGTCTGTTCATGTTCAATTAAATATGGCTTCTACCTCCATAAAGAACTATTCAGTTGTGCACTGTACTGCAGTCCATTGAAGTGAAATTATGACTGAATAACAGCGCTTCATTAACACGTACGTGGGTGGTTAGAAGTGTGTTTTTTTGTGTATTTGTGTGAGTTTGTGTCTATCAGTATTTGTGTTTGGAGGCCCCTGTTGTGAAGGCCTCAGGACCCCATGGGTTCCACCATCTGTTGTGTTTTTATGGTCTCTCTTACCGAAGAAAACCTGTGAAGAACTCCATGTTCGGAAGTCATTCATGAATACGAAAACTAAATTGACAAAAAATTTGACTTTTTAAAATAATTTTATTGAAGTAATGACTTCTCTGGTTTAAAAAAAAAATCTAATAATTGAATTACTGTCCATTTGAATTAAATTAAATGACTTGATGTTAGCCTAATGACGTTTGCCTAAAGCATGGTCATATTTCTAACTAAAGGAAAGGAAATACTCCTGATGGTGAACACCAATGATCCAGATGAAGAGAGTATCCTAAGGGAAGAGAGAAGAACAGATTCTGCCTCTCCGTTCTTGCTCACCCACCCCAAAGTGTGGGATGAAGAGTCAGAGGACGAGACCACTACAGTTCATCCTGCTGTTTCAGAGTCTGAGCCAACATTAGTATATGGCAACGTTACAAGTAGGTATATTCCTGCTTTGAACCAATATGTTATAACATGGTTTCTCTCTTATGATATCATCCCTATAGTTTGTCCTCGGGCCTGGAAGGGTTTGGATGGGGAAACTGTAGTTTTATATCAGTTTTATGTTCATATGAACTTCTGCTGGGTCTTATGAACATTAGTCCTGATCTGGCATCTTTATAAGTTCAGTCATGCATAAACACCATTCAGTTTTTCTTTCCCTGATGGAAAACAGGAAATCATACGCAAAAGTCATACGCAAAGGTTCTGCATGGTCTACTTCTCTGTGTTATTTTAAGCAACTGAGTCACACTTCAAAAAAAGAAAAATCTGTTAGTTTTTTTTAGCACCAACCATAAAGTAGTTGCTCATAGGAGCGTGATGTTAATTTCAACGATGAAAATAAGAACAAAGACATAGTACATGTTATCTAGTTGGCTACATTATTATATGATGTCCACTTCGGATGGAGGAAAAATAATTAATGAATAGACTTTTCAGGCAATCATATCCTAGCAACACTGGTTCTCATCATCAATTAAGTACGTCATAAAATAAATAAAGGAAAAAGAATAAAGAATGTAATAAAGAAAAAGAAAACCACTGATGACTGATAATGTTTCCATTACACAAACAATTGATCTTTATTATACAACAGTTAGTTCTGGACTTTTTTTTTTTTTATCTGTCTGTGTTTGCATGGTGCAGACAGTCAGTTAGTTGATTAGTAGTGAGAATTTTTAGAGGCTCTTTCTCAATGATACATTGTTATGCCATACAGTAGGTGGTGACAACTGGCCGAGTCACTGAATCATTAATTCAACCAATTCATTCAAAAACAATGATTCGTTTAGGATATAATGCCTCTACTGTGTCTGTGTGTTGCTTGGAGATCTGCAAAGGTTAATCAGGCGTCTTCTTCTTATTTAATAAAATCATGTCAACTAAAATCAGTATTTCATGTCCGTTTATTTAATTTATTCAGTAAATAGTTATGTAATATCAGAAAAATATACCATCATTAAGAAATAAACCCCATCTGGATGACTTCTAGATGTTATCCTGTAACACATGTGATTATGTTTGTGCAATGACTCTGCATATTGATGTACTTGGTGTTAAAGGAATAGATCACTCCAAAATAAAAATTTGCTGAAAATGTACCCACCCTCAGGCCATCTAATATGTAGATGACTTTGTTTCTTCTTCAGAAAAGATTTGGAGAAATTTAGCATTACATGACTTGTTCACAAATGAATCTTCTGCAGTGAATGGGTGCCGTCAGAATGGGAGCCAAACAGCTGATAAAAACATCACAATAATTCACAAGTAATCCACTTGCATTTTACTTCTACAGTACTACACATTGTTGCACTGTTGTAGTTATTTCTTACAAATATGCCATGTTTTATTTAAAAAAAAATAGTTTGATGCTTATAAACCAAGGTCATGATTCTAAGAGTAAATGCACTATTAATATAACCGAATATGTGTTTATAACCTGTCCACCATGAGGTTTATCATTTTGCACTAATGGTTCTGTTTGTAAAATGTTCTTAATCTGACTGTTTTTGTGAGACAAATAAAACAATGAAATGAATATATTTTTGAATGAGCTTTATAGTTCCTTGTGGGTTGGTGGGTGTGTGCGTGAGAACATTTTCACATCGTGACCTCTGATTTTGGACCGTGTTCTCTGAGCTTGGCCCTGTGGTGTGTATAAATGCTGCCATATTGGCTTTTCTTCAGAAATGTTTGTCGAGTCGTGTCTGGACGGTGTCTCCTGGGGGCAGGCGGAGAAGGTGTGTGTGTGTGTGTGTGTGTGTGTATTTGAAGCAAATAGACTAGCTGCATTTGTGGGTGGCTTATTTGTGCACATTTGTGAATGTATGCGTTTCCTTCCTCATTATTTTTACCCCTCCATATCTTCCCGTCCTAACAGCTTTGACATTCACTCAGTTCTGTCTTATATAATCCCCCAACCAAGCTGCTCCCCTGTTGCATCCCGAGGTTTCTCGCTCTTTACATATGTCCCAGCAGCAGGGGGCCCGTGTAGCAGGCCGTAGTCCAATTTCAAGACTGTGGTATACAAGTCAGAAGACAGGACGCCCTTTACAGTGTGTCTAAGGGGATCCCTGAGTGAACCTTATTGTGTACACTACATATGCTCTTTACACCTGCTTTAAAATGTAGCCTGTAGTTTTAAAGGTTTCATGAGCTTCCTTTAACATCATGTGGAATAAATATATTATCGTCCAGCCCAATGCACAATGTTTACAATGTATAAAGGTGATAGTTAATGAAGTCTCCAAACTTCTGAGCCCTTAATAGCAAAGCAGTCAATCATTAAAGGGAAGTGGAAAGAAAACTCATTAAACTTACAAGCATGAACTGCAAAGCAATTAACTCACAGGGAGGTCTAAAAAGGAACACAAACATTAGATATGGTCAATGACCCTGAAAACTGGGAAAACAATAAAACAGACCCTTATAAATGGCTTAATACAGATGCAATGTAAATAAAGTGCTGCGCTGTCCATGGTACTGAATGCCTTTGGATGAATCAGTACAACTTGCCTGCCAAATTATAAAACCATATTTTAACAGTTGTATTTATTTTATTTTAACAATTTTATTTGACATTTTGGCTTCACTTTTGACAGAAAGGCTATTTACAGTCTATGAATCCAACACAATCTCACAGCAAGCTGATATTTGGCAGTGGCACTAAGCCAAATTGGTGGATAATTTGTAAGAATTCATAACAAATACCCCATTCATTAATTTTCCTATGATCTGCTTTGCTTATGCCACACCGACTGTCAGGTTTAGGGGTAGAGCTTAACGAAAAATCGCACTCTTTCATACAAATTCACACGAAAACTTGCCACCTCACAAAACAGTTAAGTTTTTTCGTGAGATCGAGTTGGTTAATCTACAGCTAATAGGCTACAATAATCAGATTAAATTTACAACTCAAATAAATCATTTCATATAATAACAGGCTGGCTTCAAATATTAAGCTCAAAGTAGACTATATGGTGGCGGTTAATGCGCCTTGGGTGCACGAGCCCATCAATCACCGCCTCATTTTACTGGGAGGATCCCGATAAATGACGTTATTGCTGGCGTACCACTGCAGCGTAATTGGGCTTATACTAAATGAATGCACATCCAATAGACAAACAGTCCAAGAGGATATTATGAGCAGCCAGGGAAATATTTCCCCTAAATTACTCTTATGATTCAATGCGACATTAAGTTGACACTGAGTTGTTGACTTGCTTGCCTTTTTAATAACACTTTGGATTCACGATCCAAAAGTTCTGGTTGACCTAACAGTGCTTCACTTCAGAAGACTCTCCTAATTCAAACAGTGCAGGTAAGGACTTTTGCATTAGATTCAAGGGAATCATTTACTGGAAAATAGCAATTGTGACAATTACCCAGAGGTTGATTCAAATCTGTGACTTTATTCATGGAACACAAGAATATTAGAGGCTGATAGCTTCTGTCACCATTGCATTATGTAGGCTAAAGTGAATTGCGACAGGCTAACACCACATTTTGTTGCACAAAAGAAAAAAAACTTAGTAGAGATTTGGAACAACTTGAGAGTTAGTCCAAAATGACAATTTTAACTTTTAGTTGAACATTGTTGCACAAAAGAAAAAAAACTTAGTAGAGATTTGGAACAACATGAGAGTTAGTCCAAAATGACAATTTTAACTTTTAGTTGAACATTTACTTCGTATTATAGGTGCATAGGACAGTTTTTATACAAACGTTCTTACAAAAAGTATTAATAAAGTTATCATTACGCAGAAAATACGAATCTAAAAGCCTTATTAAAGTACTTGCCTTGTATGTATTCTCATGCGCCTCCGTTCAACAGGGCAAAACGATGTGGCTCGCGCGGATCCTCCTCGCTCTGGCACTTCTTTGCGCACCGGTTTCCAGCCTCTGCTTACCAACGTACGACCCCGTGTCCAACTTTCTTTGCAACAATGGAGTGTTCTCTGAGACGAATGATGACGGGCAACCAGCAAATTCCCTGCTGGACAGTCTAAAACTCCTGTACAAATCAGCGCACTCGCTTTCCTCCGAGGAGCCACGCGAAAGGAGGACAATACCCGCGTCCAAATACAGATACTTGAGCCAGACGCAGCTCAGGAGTAAACTGTACCGTAATAGTGCGAAGAGCGACCGACGCAGCCAGGTCACTCTATCCCTCGATGTCCCCACCAACATTATGAACATCCTCTTCAACATTGCCAAAGCCAAGAACCTGCGCGCAAAGGCGGACGACAACGCGCGCTTGCTGGCGCAGATTGGAAAGAGAAAATGAATTCCAATTTATGTCACTAATTTGACTTTAACAGATATTTTTTTGTTACCAACTGAGGCATGTTATCTCTAATTTAATAGTGTAATAAAATATTTTTTTCAGTTGCATAACAAGCAATACTGAAAATTAATGGAACGTATTAACAGGTGATATTTGGGTTTTGATTTATTACCCACTAAACGCATACTGGTTTGGTCTTGGTAGGGGCTTCTCATGTTTGTCAGATTTAATGCTGTTTTACATTAAATTATTTAAAATTGGCTCATTACCATAGTGAGACTCATGGCCATTGAAAACAAAAGTGTTTGGTTAATTTCTAAACTCAAGCTTTAAAGAGCCATAATGATTGGAGTATGTCTCGGAGGGAAGTAGCCTGCGACATATTTTTTTCCTTCCTCTCTCCCTTTTCATAAATACAATTTGTCTGTTCATCTCAGATGAAAGTTGACCTGATTAGTATTAAACATGTCTGCTCTATAAGATACACGACTGTAAAGCCGATCTGTAAAGTTCTTAAAACTCTGGGTTGATAAAACCGACAGTTGAATATTTTTGTACTGAAAATAATTATTTTATCGTTTAACCCTTGTATGGTGTTCGGGTCTGTGAGACCCGTTTTCACTTTTTATCAAAAGAAAAATGATACTATTAATTATTTTTTTCAAACTCAGACTCATTGGCCTTGGCTCATTTACTGTGAAGAACATATATCAGAACAAATTGTCAATGACCACTTACTGTACACCCCAAACCCCCCCCTACACATTTATATTACATACAGGATGTTCGGGTCCAGACCCGGGGGTAATAAAAGAGTGGACATTTTAGGTCCTGTGTACCTTTATTCTGTCCTCCTGTTGTCTGGACCTGCAATCAGTATGTGTGTGTGTGTGTGTGTGTGTGTGTGTGTGTGTGTGAATGTGATCTAACAAAGGTAAAGGGCAAATTTTGACCATATATGCTGTTTATATTGCTTGTAACTGGGATGAAGTAAACATCTGTGGAGTATTTTAACATATAATTTTTGATTGTGTTGAATTAAAAACCCAAAACTGCAGCGGGTCCACGAGACCAGAACAAAAATATGAACATCACACAACTGTTAATAAATAAATAAATGCAAACGAAGCGTCCATTTGAAGGTAATTATTTCGAGGGACAATTTAATTGTATTACGCATCTTAAGAGACATAAGAATCTACAGATATATAAACACATCACTCCTTTCACTTTTCACAACTACATTCTAGACAGACTAGTCAATGCAATAATTATAGAGAAGCACCATTGTTTATGCTGCTAGCAAATAGTTATGAATAATAAATATTTGATCACTTTTTTTCAGATAGAATCTACGTTTTGGTGAAGACTGAACAAAATTTGTAGGAGGGTTATACCGAATCATATAGGCTATGCTATGGCATCGAGACCCACTGTTCAACGTTTGGTCTCTCAGAACAAATATTAAAATAAATATTATAGCCTACCTATATAGATAATTCTAAATAATTTATTGTTATATTAGAAATACATTACAAATGCACATTATAATTCGCAAATACGTAGAATTTAAAAGTTGTAAATTAAATATATATGTAAATTCAATGTGTATATATATATATATATATATATATATATATATGGTATTTATTTATTTATTTTTCGTATGGAGCGTATAGGAACAAAAAATCAACATCATAAACATTCCGACTTTTAAGCACAGGCTTTTATTTTGAAGCATGATCCTGGTGGGCGCCATGTTCACCTCCGCCAGCTCACAGCATACGTCACACTAGTTGACGTGGAGGAAAGGAGCGTGAATGACTGTGATCATCTCATTTACTGCTCTCAAACATTCCGCAAAATGATCAAGAAATTTGACAAGAAGGACGAGGAGTCTGGTAAGATCAATATTAAGTACATGCAGACACGTTATAGAATCAGCAGTTTATAAATAACATTTCAGTGGCTTGCCAACCGCCATTAAATTTAAAAGAAGAAGAAGAAGAAGAAAGGAGCGTGAATGACTGTGATCATCTCGTTTACTGCTCTCAAACATTCCGCAAAATGATCAAGAAATTTGACAAAAAGGACGAGGAGTCTGGTAAGATCAATATTAAGTACATGCAGACACGTTATAGAATCAGCAGTTTATAAATAACATTTCAGTGGCGAAATGTTGTCGGCTGTTTTGCAAAGGAAGAGCGTCTGCAGGCCACAGCACAACATCTGGAATTGGAATTGGAAATATAAGTTATTTAACACTTAAAATTAATGTGCATGTTCCAGTTTTATACTTAATTCTGTCTAAGAGCCACGGTTTAACCAGTAGTAACTGTGTGATTTTGCAGTATCCTGTAGTATGTTTATTTAATCTTTAGGAAGCTAATGTGCTAGCAGTTCCCTTTATTAATGTACAATACAAAGTTCAACAATGAAAATCCTATATTTGCTTCTTGGATATTCTGGATAAGCGTTGTATTTTAGACATTTAAAGGCAATTTCTGATTGAGGTTGATTAAATTTGGATAAATGACTGCAAAGGGGCTACGTAGATGCTATTCTCTTCTGTCATAACTTCACCTATAATGCACTTAATCTATAATCTTCCGACAGTTCAGATTGAGAAGATCTAACTCTTTGGTTTTAATTTACTTTGCATATAGGATTTACATTTCATATGTGTGACTACTATTGCTGTTTTGAAGTGAAATCAGACGAAAAGTCACATTAAGATGCTATTTGTCCTTTTATAACTTATTCTATGTGCACTTTTCTAAAAGAAATGGCATCTTATGATTGTATATATTGTATTTGAATGAAGACAAGACATAGCTTTATATGATTGACAGCTTTATTTTGATGTTTTTAGGAAGTGGCTCAAACCCCTTTCAGCATCTGGAGAAGAGTGCTGTACTACAGGAGGTGAGTTTGATACATCCGAATCTTAAAATTAGGTAAATGTCTGTTTAGTACTGTATATTACATTGCATGTTTGTTTCAAAGGCTCGGATTTTCAACGAGACACCCATCAATCCGAGAAGATGTCTGCATATCCTCACGAAGATCATCTACCTGCTCAACCAGGTGCATTATTATATGTTATTTAGACAGCAGTTTTCTACCACAGTTTCTCTTTTTTGCTCTCTATGGACTGATCCATCATTAACCTCTTTTATTATTCAGGGTGAGCACTTTGGAACCACAGAGGCCACTGAAGCTTTCTTTGCCATGACAAGACTGTTCCAGTCTAATGATGTAAGAAACTCTACAGCCATATTAACTGTTTTTTTTTTTTTTATGACAAAACCTATATCTAGAGATGGTATGGCCAATGGATGCATATTGCATAATGTGTAATATAATATAATTAATGACAGCAACAAAATTATACACAATAATTTTCACACATAATTTGCCAAAGCATGCAGTAATTGGACAATACAAATCTGGCTGATATATCTGTCTTTATTACTTCCAGGGTTATTGTTAAAAATAATAATAATCCAGAGTTTCTCTTAAATAATTATTTATTTGGAATGAAACTGAAATGAAATGAAATATACAATTTTACATATTTAAAAATATTCTATATATATTATAATGAAAATTAAAACTGTTGCCTTGGCAACAAACTGAAATAACTAAGTCGAAGGACTATAATTACTAACTGGAGGGGATAAAACTGAAAAAATAATAAATTAACCATAGTTACAAAAATAAATAAATAATGACAATAACACATAAGAAAATTACTTATTAAAATAAAATGGATGAAATATACAAGGAAATGAACAAATCAAAGCTAATTCAAAATATTAATAGAAACTGTAATGGTAAGTAACAATAAATAATATGAGAATAACACTAATCACTACTTACTATTTTAGTTATTCAATTGACAATGAATACTTTAATGCAAATAATGTGTGTTTCCCACTATTAGCTGAAGTTTTGAATTTAAATTCAGAATAAGATGTATTTATATGTAATAATTTCTAATTTTTGCCTCTTGTTTTAGCAAACCCTGAGAAGAATGTGCTACCTGACTATAAAGGAGATGGCCAACATCTCAGAGGATGTGATCATTGTTACAAGCAGGTGAGCAGTTCATGTTGCCATAGCAGTGTATTTCTTATTTGCCGAGATATTTACAACAATATACCTTTTCTAATATGTAAAGTATAAAAACATGTTGTTTGATGAGGAATGGAAATCTTTGCACACGCTGCCAATATTACCTTATGAAGAACGCTGATTAATGTTTTGTTTGTGTCTCAGCTTGACAAAAGACATGACTGGTAAAGATGATGTTTACAGAGGACCGGCAATCAGAGCTCTCTGCAGGATCACTGATGTGAGTCTCAACTGTTTGCAAACTCATTTATCTCTGTGTATAGGAGACTTAATTTGCTAGCAGTGAGAAACAAACTATATATAAACTGATGGGACTGATATAAATGATCCTTCCAACTGTGCTTCATCCATCTCGTCCATCAGACCACCATGCTGCAGGCGATTGAACGATACATGAAACAGGCCATCGTGGACAAAGTGCCCAGCGTCTCCAGCTCTGCTCTGGTCTCCTCACTGGTAAGATCACAACCTAGTGTTATTTTTGTAATATATATATATACATCTCCACCCCCATCTGTTATTATTAATTAAAACTAGTCAGTTTACCACTTAACTGTTTATTACACTGATTCCCACCCCTAACGTTATGGTTCTGAATAATGTAGCTGTGTTTGTGTATTTGTTCTTCAGCACATGGTGAAGATGAGCTTTGATGTGGTAAAACGCTGGGTCAATGAAGCTCAGGAGGCGGCTTCAAGTGACAACATCATGGTGCAGGTTAGTGAGATGTTTGCAACCATTGTCTTATGAGTTGGTGGTCTGTCCGTCTCTAATAAAATGGGATCTCTCTCCACAGTACCATGCTCTGGGTCTTCTGTACCACCTGAGGAAGAATGACCGTCTGGCTGTGACTAAGATGCTTAACAAATTCACCAAATCTGGCCTCAAATCCCCATTTGCTTACTGCATGATGATTCGCATTGCCAGTAAGCTGCTGGAGGAGACAGAAGGAGGGTACGTGTGTTGGACATCAGCTTTTCCGGGTTAATCAATGTTATGCAGTTGCGTATAATGTAAACTTACCTAGTTAAAATTAAAATAAATATTAAAATATATTAATATACATGTGGTTTAACAGGCACGATAGCCCGCTGTTTGACTTCATTGAGAGCTGCTTGAGGAATAAACATGAGATGGTAGTTTATGAAGCAGCCTCCGCCATTGTCCACATGCCCAATTGTACCGCTCGTGAGCTGGCTCCTGCTGTGTCTGGTTAGTGTTTCTTCTTTGCTTTCTTATCAACACACAATAGAGTACACTAGATGTTAAAATGAATTTTGCCTTTCTTTCTCTTTCCATAGTTCTCCAGCTGTTTTGCAGCTCTCCCAAAGCAGCCCTGCGTTATGCAGCTGTACGGACCCTTAATAAGGTTGGTTTGAATAGGATTTCTTTTGTAACTAGTTGCAGTATCACCAGCTACCACATGGAGACACCAAAAAACACATTTTTAGGTTTAAAGTCATGCTTTCAACAAATAGTGCAAAAACTACATTCTAAAAGGGGTGAAACATTAAAATTCTGAAGAGGTGATATAACCACAAAAAAATATTTTTTTTCCCTTGTTCACACAGGTGGCAATGAAGCACCCGTCAGCGGTGACCGCATGCAACCTGGACCTGGAGAACCTGATCACTGACTCCAACCGCAGCATCGCCACCCTGGCCATCACCACCCTGCTGAAGACCGGCAGCGAGAGCAGCGTGGACCGCCTCATGAAGCAGATCTCTTCCTTCGTCTCTGAGATCTCAGACGAGTTCAAGGTGACTTCATGACCCAGACAGTGAATTTCAACAAAATTAGACAACAATCGCATGCTTCAGATGCATATTCAATCATGTTTCAGGAGTTAGATTAGTTTTGCCTGTGATCATTTTCCTGTAAACTGTGTTTTCATAACCAAATGGTGTGTTTATTTTCCAGGTGGTTGTGGTCCAGGCCATCAGTGCCCTGTGCCAGAAGTATCCCAGAAAGCACAGCGTGATGATGAACTTCCTTTCAAACATGTTGAGAGATGATGTAAGTTCATTCAAGGACATTCTCTGTTGTTACACTAAACCACACAACCGGATTTGATACCCTTAACAACTGGTTTACTTCTGATCTGTATTTGAATTTTTATCGCCAAAAATAGCTGAAAAAGCATTGACTTTTTCTATTAGACATGTTTCATTTTTTTTCTCTTTTGTAGGGTGGCTTTGAGTACAAGAGAGCCATTGTGGATTGTATCATCAGTATCATAGAGGAAAACCCAGAGAGTAAGGAAACAGGCTTGGCCCACCTGTGTGAGTTTATCGAGGATTGCGAGCACACCGTACTTGCCACTAAAATCCTCCACCTGCTGGGGAAAGAGGGCCCACGTACCCCCACCCCCTCCAAATACATCCGTTTCATCTTCAACCGTGTGGTGCTGGAGAGCGAGGCGGTGCGGGCAGGTGAGTAATCTTGCGTGATCACCTAGGTCCTAGGTCACCTAGGGGTGTGCGATATATATCGTCTGCGATAATATCTTAATTGTTGTTTTAACGATGTGTGATTAAGACATTATCGAGTATTTTGCAAAAACCTTTCAAAACACCCCTACAGAGTGCACGCATATATTACGTGAAGTCTAGACTAGTGCGCGTACGCATTTAGAGTGTGTTCTTTCACTACATGATTCAGTCTATTACAATACATTTAGAATGATCACAAATTCAAAACACAGGGACAGAAAATGTATATATTATTTATATCATTTCATATAGTTAATCAATATCAAACAAAGAGTTAATTGAGAGACATATTGGACACCATATTTCCTGTTTTTGTGCTATTTCGATGACAAAAATAATTCCAAACAGCCACAGCTGTTTTGCGTCTCTGAGCAACATGGCGGTGTTTCGTTCCTGAATGAATCAAACGGTTAAATGACTTGGTTCAATCGCAATGACTCGCTTATTAACAGTGACTTTCTGCCCCCTACTGGCGGTTTTAATTCCACATTCAAAGTATCTTTTATTATTAAAATAATTTCGAACGTTTTATGTTTAATACAGCAAAACATCATTTATGCATTTGTAATTGCAGGTTAAATGCATTCATGTTCTGCACTAAACAGTAGTGTGTAAATGCTGTAAAAATCAGTTTAAACTTATTGGAAAAGATAGATTTCTACCAGTGTGACTGTGAACTGACCACCACACCAGGGCCGTGCACAGACCTTTTGAGGGGCATGTGCTGAAACTGAAAAAGGGAACCCCCCCCACAAAATATTTTATTTGTGAACTTATGTTCAGCTATTCTTTTTAATAGTTAACTTTTAACTATTTTTGAATTATTCGGTTCATCAGTCATCAAAGCTCAGTAAATATTGGTCACAGACACAGAAATTTACTTTCAATTTCAACAAGCTGATTTACTCACTAAAAACTCCCACAGATCATGTTTTCAGACCATTTCAAGTCTTATTTTGACGTAATAAAGTGGTTACATCTAAGTGTGTGAGTTGTTTACTTACTTTTTTAAATGAGTCTTCCCATTAATGCCATTATATTGTTCATTCAGACTGATTCGCAAACGTAGAACGCACATGAACACAATAGGCGGGATTTATCGCATGAACCAATCACAGCCGAACATAACCAGTCATATCCAATCATATCGTGATGGAGGAAAATCCCCCATTCATTACATAAATTATGAGCATTTATAGACATAGTGTTTCTTGCATAAAGAAAACGCTGTACTTATTCAAACAACAAGATCTTTATTTACCCTTGCAGACCTAGTTCAGCTGCTGTGGAACTTCAGTTCATTCAGTCAAGATAGAGGGGGTGGAGTTATGAGGCTTACTGACAGTTTGAGCGGATCCAACAAGATTTAGTCACAAGCTCTTTTTAATACCTTTCATTAGCTAAATATTTGTAAAGCAGACAGACAGATGTAAAGGGTGACCAATATCATTGATTTA